CCTTCCCTTCTTTTCTTTCTGTGCCTCTTCCTCCCTTTTTTCTCTACTTTGTGAAGAGCGGTCGCTCTTTTTTGTCAACTAGTGCCTCCTCCTTCAGTCTAATCGTAAAATAATGACAGGATGCTAGACAAACGCGACCGCACTTATCAAAGGAGCTTGGCTCGTTTGGTCTCACCTGCATCCCTCCCGAGTATATTACATTTCTTTCGATGGACACTGTTATTTTGTTCGCTATAATCATTAGGGTAGCTTACAGTTCTTGAATTGACGAGAGAAGGCGTAAGTCTATTACTATTTAAACAATTCTTTTTCTTGAAGAGAATCTTAATTTGATCGCCCAATTTAAAAGCACGAAATAGCCTAATGGATCGTTGGACGTGATACACGCCGATATAGTCACATAAATACGCGTTATAGAATGGAAACGATTAATTTAAAAGCGGTACGCCAATTATATTTTGTGATCTGTGTGTGTAGCACTCTTAATTTAATCTCATCTCTCATCGATAAGAGACCTGTCAAGGTGCGAAGAGCTATGTTTTAAGGAGACGTCATTTTGCAATTGAAAAATATAATGCTAACACCTATTACAATGTACTGACATGCGCGAAATACAATGCTTAAAGCGACAATGAAAATACAATATTTTCAGAACTAATATCACTGATGTGATACAACTACGTAAGTTATGATTCATAAATACTTCCTGCTTTGAAAGATCATAATCAAAAACCTACCAATACGACTAATGTTTATGTATAATTCCCTTTTTGCTTTGCTTCAACGCGACCGTAAGGTGCGTCTGTCTATTTATAGTCACGTCTTGTACGATACGATCTATGTGCGATTACTGGATACGATGTATAAGTTGATAAGAGAGGTGAAATGGAAAATATCTCCGCAAATTCATATCTCTTAAATATCACGTGTGATACGAAAAAGTCGTTGTTCCCGACGCAAATAAGGCTTTATAAAAGGTCATTAGGCAGATATACTGAAACACTACTGAAACACCACGAGGTTCAACGCTCATGCACGTTCTCCATCTGTCGCTGATTTGAATCGCGTTAACTTGAATTTGAACAGGTCGAGATACAATACAAATGAAAGCGAGCGGGCATGAACTTAGATTAATCGACGAGTCAATAAGTTGGAAATCCGTAAATAAATGCAGAATGAGAAATGAATAACATTTATACGTAAGATGTGATAAGCTTTATCGGAAAATTACATAAACCAATTTATTAACAAAAATTGAAGAAAAAAAATGGAGGAAAAAAATAAAGGAAGATACAAAGACGCGAAGCAAAAAATATCTTTGTAAATGCATGTCTTTCCAAATATCACCTATGATACCTAAACAGTTGCATACAATTTAGATAGATTTAAAATCCAAATTGCGTCAAATGATTAATTGAAATTAATGTTTAGAATCTTGGTGCCAGTTCCTATTTGTTCTTTTCTACATAATTCTCTGAATTATAATAATAATTCCGAATTATTCGTTCATTACCAATTTACGTGAAAGGAGTTTGCGTTTGAAAAGTTTTACACAGAAAAAAACCAATTTGCTTAAAGAATGAATAAAGAAAAGCAAAACTACCTGATGTGGAGCGTCATACAGAATCTGTAAAGCAACGACAGGACACCTCCCATTCCGCTTCGCATGCCACTGACAGCGGCCTGACCGTCGTCGATGGCGATATCGCTATCAGGTTAACACGTAAAACGACACGTTTTAATCCAGCCGATCTAGCCTCGACGTCTGAATCTTAATTCACGACGACGGGATTGCACAGCATGTGGCAGCTTTGTAAGCCGTTGGGAGCCGCCGCGAGCGCCGACGGGACGCAATTTCGTGGCGACGCTAAGCGCTCTCAACTTAACGATCGCGCTAACGTCGAAAAAGTTTAACGATCGTATAGTGTATAGAAGCGTATACGCGCGTGAGTCCAACACGAGCATTCCGCCGTCGAGCTAATTATGTAAACGAGAATTTCGCGAAGCTATAAGGGGATGGAGAAGAAGAAGGGGAGATTCGCGATCCCTTATTCACAAACGGCCTATCGCTTGGCGACATCGATCGGGATAAAATCGCGACACGCCGCGCGCAAACGTTTCATTAGGAATCGGTATAATTACATGTCCAAGTATAATACGCTCAATTGCGAAGGACACGAATTGGAGCATGGCGAACGTTGTGATTTTTTTTTTTGCTCGGCAAGTTAATTTACGTCGATTTGGCGCTCGACCTAATTCTCATTTCAAAAAAGCGAATTTATTCCAAAGTTCGAAAACTAGAAAAATCTGGAGTTCTCCAAAGTTGCTTCCAAATGGTCATAGACGTCTCAGAAATTTGCGGAAGTTTTTAAACTAATCTTAAGGAGAGAAACTTAATCACTAATAAGTACATGACTTTAGATTTACAACACATAATTTACTAAAAAATTGGAGAATCCTTTTATCCTTAAGAAAAGGATTTTCCTAATTGTTTGTAACTTTTAACAAATAATCCAATACGTTCAATACATAAAAAAATTTTGTTGAATAACGGTCTAATAATAAGAATTTTTTAAATCAAAATAATCGAAAACATAATTATTTATATTCGTCAGAAATTACGTATAAAAATATTCTAGATACTGAATTTTATCTGTAGTAATGTAATCGAATATTTTAACGATTAAGTTTAACTAAATTTCTGCATTTGTGTGACATTCCATTTAAAGTGAGTTGTATACACTGTTAAAAATAAATCAGTTTCAATATTTTTGCGTGTCTGAGAAAGTTCACTAAATGTCTTTAAAATTAACATTTCATTTTTAACAGAATATGATTCTTTCGAAACCTTTTAACATCAATGACATTTTTCACAGCAGAAAAATCGCACAAAGCGATTGTGGGATCGTTGGGCGAATCTAGTTTGACATAAAGGAAAGATATTAAATGTTAAAATAAACTTAGCTCATGCTACGACGTGACGCTATAAAAGACGTTCGGCGGACGATGTTCGAACAGAGCAAATTTGTAATTACGCGCGTTCCTGCCGTTACTAATAAAACTATTTATCATGAAGAGAGGATGGAAGCTTTCATAAATCCCGAAATAACCGGGGGGTCGATCTGATACACGCTCGCGTGCACGACTGACGTTCATGAACGAAATGCTTCTCCTCGACGTAGAAATCATTATGCAATTATAACGAATCTAACCACCGCACCGCATACTTTTGCGGAACCAACGAAACCGCCAAGTGTGTTATCCGACGCGGCATGCCGTTGGAGAAGAACTATGAAATTACTGAACAAGAACGTCAGTTTGATAATAAAAGCAGAATTTTTCTTATCCAAACCAATAAAGATATTTATATTCGTTGTTGTACGAAACTATAAAAATATTCCAGATATCAATAAATGTTTCTAAGCATAGCCCCAAATCTTTCATTCAAATTTAAAGTTATTCGATATTTAAAAAAAATTTCACATTGTATCACATTTTTAATCAATCTTGATGATTAGGTTTAATTAAATTAAATTTAAATAAAGTGTACATGCTAGTTGTAATTATCTTAATATAATATTTTGTTATCTATCGATAAAAAAATTTTACACAATTAACTTATTTAAACTAACTCATTTAAATAGTCAATACGATTCTTAAGTTTTTACATAATTAAATACTTTTTTTAATTGAATATTTTGATAATTAAATTTAATTAAATACCGTGATAGTGATGTTAAGCTTAATTAAATTAAATTTCTATGAAGAGACACAGAAATTTAATGCTAGTTGAAATTGTCTCAATACAATTTTTTATTATTTATTGATTATTATCTCTTTTTTAAACGAATATTTTTTAGATTCTCCATTAATCTCTTTTAATCAATTCCTCAAATTTTTTTAATTTTGATACCGCGCAACTTATATAGAAATCATCATCTATATTACAGTTCTGCAACAAAAAATATTACTATTGGGTTGTCCGGAAAGTTCGTGCCAACTAACCTATATAATTTAATAAATGTATACTAAAATTTAAATTTTCTGCGTTCCAATTTTCTTTCAACATCGGCACGAACTTTTCGGACAACCCATATATTTTTTTTTTTAAATACTTATATATCTCACGTATAAAATTAATAAATATTGAGGAATTTTATAGACCTACGAAACGCAATAATAAAACACAAATACTATTTTAATTACTCGATATCTTGCGTTATAACCAATTTGAACTTTGTTCATTAAAGGACCAATAATATTTACGCAAATTCGCGGTAGCGCGCGATAAATTCAGAGCAGCAGAAACAATCGAAAGTCAAAGGCAAGCGAATTAAGTGGCGCTCCCTTCGAAGCATAAACAAGTGTTAGGGACGTGAATGGGATCACGTAAAAAACAGATTTCCACCCTCAGCAACGCGGACATTCTCGCGCACGAAACACAATTTCAGACGAGCGGTCGCCAGGAAGGGGAAAGGGGACTAACGTCGTAAGTGATCCCAGGGGCTCGTCAGGAACGATCTTATGATTGACCGCGTTATGCCACTCCCTGAAGACCGTTTTTCAAAAGCTATTTCGGAAACATCGCCACCATCAACATACTTCAACGAGCAATCATGGAGAAATACTCTAAAGTATATTATTAATTCCAAGAAGTAAAATAATCTATTAATTTTATAACTATGAATCTTTTACAGAACAAATTTCTGAAGGAAAAAAATATTTTAAAAGATATTATATTTTTCTTTATAAAAATGGAGCAAACCATCGTCTAAAAGTCTTTTAAAAGAATCTAATTGGAAATTACATCTTTTATATGTTCGTTTTGTCTTCTAAAAAGAGTTTATAAAAGAAAAATAATATATTTTTTAATATATTTAATATATTTTTAGTTGCAAACACATACATATACAACACACAATTCAAGAATTTTTAGAAAGGAGCTTGATTATGGTTAAAGCTTTTCATTAATTTCATACACTCATTAAATTTCTACTCACCCTTCTTTTCATCTTCTTCCTCTCCATGATCAGCAGCATGATGAAGATGATGTACAGTAGGATGATGCCCAGTGATCGCCGGTACCAGGGAATGATTGCTCAACGTCGGATGAGGATGATGCGGATGATGATGACTGAGAAATCTGACTGCAGCGGCAGCGGCCTGATGCTGGGCCTGCATGCTCTGCTGGACTTGACTCTGCACCTGACCCAAAACCGGATGATGTGGCGGCCATCCTGCCAAGTGAAAAGGAAACACAGGCGTCGTCCTTTGGAATAATCTGGCCGGAGCCAGCAAGGATCCTCCGGAGGCGCTGGAGCCGCTGCCGGGAGGCAACGGAAAGGACAGACCGCCTCCAGGCTCCAGGACCATCTTTGGTACCAATTCGCCGGCGCTTGTCTCTCCCTTGGAGAGCGATCAGTCCGCTCGCATCAATCCCTGGGATCAGCGAAACCCGATCACAGGAGAGGAAGAGTCACCTAATCACTAGTACACTGGTGTCATGTGTCTGTCAAAGATGCGAAAGATTGGAAGATATCTGACGCTATTAGATGCTTTCAGTTAACGCGTCTTTACGTCTTCCATTTCAGGCCCTTTGAAGCATGATCATTAAACAATACAGTTCATAGATCATCATTGCCTATAAGTCACTCGCTTGTAATAACCATTAAAACGCTTGCGAAAACTGTGATCTCGCAATTTTAAACAGTATTTTTTTTATCTTCCATTCTAAGTCTTTCAGATCATTACTCAAATCCATTCCTATTTTTGATCTTGTCGAAAAGCGATGATTTTAAAAAACGGTGATCAAAAATCTTGTTGCTTCATAATGTGATATTTTGCATATTTCTGATATTTTTGAACACTTTCAGGATTCATAAATCCCATAGGCCAAACAGTCTTAATCACTCGTAATTCCGTAATCCGATAACAATATTTTACATATTTAATAATTTTTTACGTACTAACATTAAGTTGCCCGTCGAACAGGTGACTGGCAGAACTCCACGAGCCGTCGGCCAGCTCAACGACGTACTCACAACTTTTAAATCTTTCTCTAACTAAATTCGATCAGTATCACAAATTAAGTTATAATGTATCAATTATACTTCTATGTAGCGATGATTTTAAATATAGATTGCACCACCTACAAATATAACTGTCCTTCACTTACTAAACTCATCGATTGAAAACTTTCTCACGTCTTGACGATCTCTCACGTCTTTTCAAAAGTCCATCATAGAATATTTGATCTGTGACGTCACTAGAAGTCTCACGATTCACGAGAGTGATTCTTCTCGGTGTACTCCAAAATTGTATGCACGCCGAGATCGAAACACCTAATTACACACGTTTGCGACACTTTTTTGGCCACGACGCGTCACCGGATGTACTTCCGGGTCCTCGCAGTTCCCGAATACGTGCGCGTGACAGGCGAGTCTCCGGGATTTTCTTGGCAGCAAGGACCTGCTGGTTAAGACCACTACGGCATGAGCCAACGGCACAATACTATCTGCCTCGAGACTCGAGTCAACGACTCCCCTCTGTCCGCGAAACTGAAACTGGTTTCAAGAACCGCCCAGAAGCACGCGATTGGCCGAGCCCACGGCGAACTCGTGGGTTATACGGAATGTCGGACCAATGCGGGCGCGAGAATTATACGGACGGTGCCACCCTCTGGACGCTTTTTTCGTCCTGGAATTGAATCGACGCCTTGCCTGCGGTGCCTAGTGGGGGCGAATCAATTGGTGGCTGCCCTGAAACAGGCCGCAAGATGGCTCCTCCCTTCCCACAGCCGCTATGAAATACCCTTGCCGATCTCATCGGTCGAGGCATTCGGATTCGATCCGAGTTGGATTCGTCGTAATGGACAGGCAAAATATATATCAGTGAATTGTGTGATTGTTTATTGCCTAACGTTGTTGTCTCACCTTTTATCCATTTTCTTCTCCCAAATGAAAGCTTTTGAGATAGAAATTTAATTTCTCAGCCCACAGATACTAAGTATATAATTTAAATTTTATATTCAATAATATTTTGTATTCAATAATAGTATAATTTGAATACAACGGATAATTTAACATTAAAAATACTGTGCGGTAAGAATTTAAAGATAATTAAATTTATGCCTCGAAAGATTTCTGTGTGTTTAATTTTTTAATTATTACTTAACCATTAAATTATTAATGTTTTTCAACAAATGTCGAAATTAAAATATCTTAAAATTCTCTCTCTGATATATTACTCTGATGATATTCCATATGGAATATCTTATTGATAAAATTAATGAAATAGGAAACCCTTCTCGAGTCTCGAGTGAACGTACGAGGAATAGACACCCCCATGATCACGCACCACCACTCCCGTCGCAATCCCCACTCCGGAAACTTCTTCCGCCCCTCCAACCCCCGAGGGCGCGATCCTCTTTTAATAAAAGGAGCTCGGAGGCGTTAAGTAATTACATCTATTCTCTACTGGGGAGGAAATTACCTGCGCCGGGTCGGTATGGGAAAAATTGGGAAATTAAAATTAACCCCCCACCCTAACTGAGCTATGCGCGCTTGCTCGCCTGTTCTGCCCCCTTTCTCGGATTGCGCGCTCGACCGGAACACTTCGTTCTCGAATTTAGGAGGAGCCGGCGGCCATTACCGCTTACGTAATCTTTTTTTGCACAGTGACGGCGGCAGCTTGTTAGCGAAGTTATTTAGCACGCGATTCGCTCCCCGTTCGTCGACGAGAACCGAGAGAGCCAGCACTCATCTATCATCTCTGGATATTGTTACCAGAGTAACACTAATAAAGGACAATACATTTCAACGCTCATTGTTTTATATCCAAATGAAATTCCAGTCTTCTTCTCATTTCAACAACTATATAATTTCTAATCAATCAAATAATTTACGGTATACTAAACTTCTTTTGTAGCATGTCATAACATTTTGTATGTTGTTTACGACCCAATAGGCTTATTTCTATGCAGTATTGTGTAAATTGCATAACATATCGGTAAATAATTTTTACTTATTATGACATTGCATTGATATATTGTTTACAATACATATTTTTCTCAAATAATCTGCACACACACACACACACACACACACACACACACACACACACACACACACACACACAAAATCAATTGACAAGATAATTTAATAATAATTATATATTTTCATTTTACTGTAACTATTGATATTTTGTCTCCACAGAATCATTTGCATAAGTGTTGAAAATAATTTTACTGGATTTTATTTGTATTGTCGATATTTCTCCAGAATTATAAACAGACAGAAAATGAATATATTGAATAATGACTAAGTTTGCACAAGAGTCAAAATACTTGTGAAACACATAAATTTTTACTTAAGAATGTGTATAATTAACGTTATAAGAATTAACTTTTCGTTACACAAGTAATTAAATTACTTATCGATTGACAATAAGAAACCGTAAGTTGATTATGTTGAAGAAAAGGAGAGAGGTTGAAAGGGGTGAAATATAGTCATGAAAAATTGATCGAGCACGATATCACGTTTAGGTGCATCTTGGTGAAGGAACCAGAACACGCGCGGATCATACATCAAATACCCGGAGGCTCTGCGCTCGCGCGCGCGTGCCGCCATGCTTTAATATAAAACTTAAATAACGACATACACAAGAGGACAAGGGCGGAAATGGCGAATAATCTTATAAATAAGTTCTTCGCCCGGTTCAACCGCGAATACTAAAATCGCATGAGAATCCGCGTCTTTAAGCCCTGCAATGTATCTTGAATTGATGAACGTGGAGATAATCACACTTTCTTTCTTAAATTTTAGATTCTCGACATCTACAAGAGTCTAGAAAAGTCGACAGAACATCTCAACTTTTTATAATTTTATATATTCATATACTATTTTGTTTAAATAATGTATTTTAGGCCTAAAGAAGTGCAAAGGTTTATATCAAATATATTAATTTTGTGTTTACATCATTAATATAGGAGATACATTTAATTTATTTTAACTTTGACAATTATCGCAGTGAGAAATAAATTGGATCTTTTGGCCAATTCCTTTTTTGTTCCAGATTGCTATCAACTACATCCCGTATCGTTTTATCATTGATAAAAGAAAGAAGGAACAAGCAAAAAAGAAAGAAAGAGTTCAAGAAGGAGAAAGAGTTCATCTTTAATCAAGGTCAAATCTTCATTTGGCACGTTCTCGCTCGCGCCATCAAATATAATCACCAGAAAGCACACCATCTTTTTTCCCTCTTCTGCTTTGGGACTCCTCCTCCCTTCTTCTTGCTTCACAGAAGCCAGTACCCTTTCTCCCTTCCTTCAGACTCGTTCTCGCTCTCTCGAATTGAATCTCTCTGTGAGAGAGAGAGGAGAGGGTGAGAAAACGAAGGAGAAGGTTGCCTTGGCAACGACAGAGGGTTTCTCGATGTGGTTGCCGAGGCAACCTGTAACCAGCGACCCCTAAATATGCGCCAGAAACCGCAGAGGAAAGAGCGAGGGGGAAAAATAAAGAAGAGAGGGGCATTTAATAATCGAGTTAAATGAAAGCATTTCCAAAAAGAAATAACAAGAGGAGTTAAATCAAAGCAAGAAATAACGAAAGATGTTCTTATTACTTGCATTTTAAAACATGTAATATGTAATAACATGTAGTAAATACTTACCAGCCATTCGTTATAAATTTATTAGACAATTTTCTTTTGAGGATATTTTAGAAGTATGCAAAATTTACATGTGCTTAAATTTATTCCATCAGATTATTTCGTTTCTTTACAGATATTAGATTTTCAGATTTGAAGAATTCGAGTTTGATACAAATAATCATGAAAACTATAGCAGAATAATAACAGTAAGAATTTAGTTTTATATAACATTTGTTTTGCATTTAACGTGTAATCAAAAATTTCTTTACATTGAAAACATGCTCTCAAAATAACTCCTAAAATATTCGATTCTTAGCAATTAACAAAGCTCGAGTAACTTTCTGGAGTACACGCAATTCAGAGATGTTAATTTCAAGGCGATGCGCTATTACGTAAAAGTCACTTTTTGCCGGAAATTAGGCTGACGCTCGTCTCGAGAGACCCAGGCGTACATAATGCGGAAGCGGGAAAGACGAGCGCGAAGAAGGAAAGCGGCGAGTTCCTAATTTACACAGCCGCCGCATCCTCGAAGCCCTTTCCGGCCCAGACGGAACTTTGCGGCGATTAAAACGCTTTAGTAATTAACTAGGTCTCCTCACCTTCCGCGAGTAGCAGTTACCGCCGCCACGCCACTAGCACTCCGAAACTCCGCGTCTTCCTTCTTCTTCCCACCCCCGACTTGTTTGCATTATTTAACGGTTAACCCTTTGCTGCAGTGGTACTCCAGCTCCGTAGCGAACAATTGTCGACGAGGAATGTAAATCGACGGGTGCTAAAAAAACTATTTTGTATACATGCATACAAAATATACTGAATGACACGCGCGTAAAAACGTGCATATAATCGTGCACTTCTAATTAATGATAAAAAGAAGAACGGGAGAAATATCGTCGACCAGATTAAATGGAAATATTTAGAGATTATCAGTCGCGGGGGTCAGTCAACTGGAATTTTGATAGAACTGAATATTCGAATACGTGAGGAAGAAAAAATTTGATAGAATAAATTCATATAAAATAAATGCTATATCTACTGATCCACCGAAAAAA